AAATACAGATCGTTGCTGAAAGTATGGTATATAGTAGTTAAAAAATACAGTCGTTGCTGAAAGTATGGTATATAGTAGTTAAAAAATACAGTCGTTGCTGAAAGTATGGTATATAGTAGTTAAAAATACAGTCGTTGCTGAAAGTATGGTATATAGTAGTTAAAAAATACAGATCGTTTCTGTTTTAATGCCATTCGTTAAAAAAAATTAATACCAGTATTCAGGTAGTTACGTAACAAAATACATGATACATTTTATATTTTGTTCAAGCAGTTGAAAAGAAGACCAAAGGATCAACATTATGGCATTTTTAGGGTTAACATCAACCACTATACATATCGTGGCATACTTAGCTATTACTTTCACCGCCGTCCTGTTGAGAGCTACGGAGCACACAGACTGGAGATTGAGAAACATAGAACAGCAGAAGACAGAAGCACAACTTAGAAACACATTAATCGCGATAGAAAAGACACTGGATTTCATGGAAGAATCTCTGTCGAGGATCAACCTTGATGGCATTTTTGGGATACGCTTAGTTGGCGGTAAAGTTTGCATCTATAATCAAATTGATTCTGCTCTCTATTGAAATCATCACTATTATAACGTAGCTTTTATTTTTACGTATAGCTTCTGTGTTTTTTATTTCAATTGGTTATTTTATCTTCATGTTCATTGAAATAAGTATAACATCATGTAATTTTGTTAATTCGTTTTGGAGATGATTTATATAATTTAAACGATAGTTGGTGCTTTAGTGAAATAAACTAGCAAGTATCTTGTGCGTGGAAGCACGTTATGCTAATGTAATGGTAAATTGACAAGCAACTATTTATAAACATAATGAAGTGTTTTATTTTGGGGGAACAAACTATACGTGTCGACAGAACATCGGTCTCTCTTCTTCTGATTGTTTGTCAATTTACTAGCAAGTCTTTTGCTTCAATCTTTATATCAAGGTGGATATCGAAAGATTATCTATGGTGGTGGTGGTGTTGTATACGTCAGTTAATACTGAAAAACAACTTTTAATAACATTGTGATACTACCTAGATAGAGCCTGCTTGTATGAATTACGAATCAAGGAAACAAATGAGCAACTTTATAGAGTTGCACATATCTATATACACCCACACACTATAACTATCCCTGTGATATTTCTCGTGGGTAAGAAAAAATAAACCTTAGCCATATACTCCGCAAAATCTGCCGAGTGAGCAAAATCATTTTTGCCAACCATTTTATTCTGCGAGTAAGATCACATTTAAGATCATTATTTTTGTCAACCGTTTTATTCTGCGAGTAAGATCACATCATCATTTTTGCCAACCATTTTATTCTGCGAGTAAGATCACATCATCATTTTTGCCAACCATTTTATTCTGCGAGTAAGATCACATCATCATTTTTGCCAACCATTTTATTCTGCGAGTAAGATCACATCATCATTTTTGCCAACCATTTTATTCTGCGAGTAAGATCACATCATCATTTTTGCCAACCATTTTATTCTGCGAGTAAGATCACATCATCATTTTTGCCAACCATTTTATTCTACGAGTAAGATCACATAATTATTTATGTCAGTCGAAAAAACGCAATTCGGTCTTACCACTTACTTATAAACAATAACACCACGTGCATAAAAACAATGTAAACTATGAACATTTGCTTTCTATTTGATCTAGGACCCTGGACTAGTACTAAACATGAACCGAAAAATAGAAAAGCCTCTTCAGACGAGCGATATCAGTGATTAATGTAACAGTACAGCTATCTTCTTTGTTGAGTGTAATGTATATTCGTAGACAGCAGCTTTGTTTTTCTCAGCAAAATGTCCAACAGCTTCTCAATTCAGCAATAATACATATTTAGTTATATTTCCATTATTAAATATATTAATTTGTAGGCTTTGTAAATATTTAAAGACCCATGAGCTTATTGAATGTGTTTTAGTGTTATGTTGTTGACACATCGCAAGGACACGGTGTTTAACGAAACATGATCGCTAACAAAAAAAAAAACTCACGATGTTTCACGACACATGATTGTTATAAAAAAACTCATGGTGTTTCACAAAACATGGTTACTAAAAAACTGTAATCTCTAGAAGAGCGAAGAAATTCATTTACAAATTTCTGAATGCCCGGCTTGGAATATTTTCAACTTGTTTCACACACGGAAGAGACATAGTGTAGAAAAGATGACAGAATCCACTTTTACACGTATTTGTATATACACAGATCAGGTCCAGGTATTGCTTCATCACCTACGAAAGCCACTGGAAGGTGATCATTCCCTTCGATTCTTTACGAGCAAACTTCAGCACATTCAAAAAAGAGGAGAACGTATTTCCGACTTGGCCATGTACTACGTGAAAAAGCTACAGCCAGTTTATTTCAGGAGTAAGTTGAATAAAGTTTCATTAAAGTTTATTTTTCACTTTCTGTTTATGAAGTGTGTAATTATACTCCCAAAAATAAATCATGTAAATACCCAGTGGTGATGCACAAAATACCTATACACCTTATATATATATATATATATATTATAAAATGGTTTTCAGGATAAAAGGGGGAGCCAAAGAACATTATTAAAAGATAACTGAAATTTATGGAAACTTTAACAGAACTTATAGCCACATGAGGCCACCCAAAGTTATCTATAAAAGGATTCTGTATTATGCATAAATAGTGTTTTAACATAGCAACATTAGATGAAGGTAAAAACCATTATATTTTATTCTATCATTTCTCAGAGTTAGGAAAAATGTTGAGGAAGGGACGGTGGAGATTAGACTACCCTATTCGTTACACCACAACAAAACTGAGAGAAATTCCTGTATCTCCTACAGTTTACTTTTCTGAATATCAGTCAGACAAGTGTATTCAGGAACTACTAAGATCCAAGTAAGTATTGACTTTCAGGACACGAACCTGTCGAGTAGAGATTATAATTCGAGTGTATTTTAGATCCTAATGATAACCGTTGGAATCGGAGTATATTCCGGCTTTGAGTTCGCGCTGAGCCGAATTGTGGAGTTTCCAGTTAGGGCCCCGTTACAGAAAAACAAAAATCATGTTCCGTACTTAGTTAGTTAGTTTGTTTGTTTATAATTAAGTACAAAGCTACACAATGGGCTTTATGATTGATTATTCTGTGTATAGGTTTATTCTGAATGCTCTTTCTTTTACTCTTTTCTTTAAGTTCGTGCAGGTTGACTAAATGAAAAGAGAAGTTTTAAATGAGTCCCAAGTCGTTAATTCCGACTTTGTATGACGCAGTTTCAAGTACATGTGTATATGTTACAGCGATGCATAGTTTGCGTTTGTATTCTGAGATAAACAAACACTGAGTTTCACAAATGTGAACTAAAAGACAGTCCCACAAATGTTTATTCTTTTACCTTTACCAAGATCAATCTCATAGAGCTTGGAGCAGTTTATCCAGCTGGCTGAAGAGCAACTGTGAAGTAAACAACCTGGTCTAACTTTTTACCTTTACCATACTTACTTTTACCTAGATCAATCTCATAGAGCTTGGAGCAGTTTATCCAGCTGGCTGAAGAGCAACTGTGAAGTAAACAACCTGGTCTAACTTTTTACCTTTACCATACTTACTTTTACCTAGATCAATCTCATAGAGCTTGGAGCAGTTTATCCAACTGGCTGAAGAGCAACTGCGGAGTACA